TGGCACTAATTTTTTTGGTTATTGACTTCTAACCACCTATAGTTCCTGTTTGACATTTACTCATCGTTTTCTCCCCTCTAATAACTTATCTGGCCTGGCCCCTAGGAGTCTGGCCGGCGGAAGGAGGAATTGTCTAGTGAAGATATATAAGGAGAATTTTAACAAGGAGCGATAGGCACTCGGCTGTCAGAGTCTGGGCCCAGGCCTACCCCCTCCCCTTCCCCTCCCCTTTTCCACCGTCACCCCAGCTAGACACCAAGTTCTATAATTAGCATTTGACACACTTCCCCACTTTGTTAACGAGAATCCTGCTATAGTATAACGGACATTTCGCACCGGTTCCCCTCCCTCTCGTTATAACAGGATTCCACTGTATCATGCATGAAGACATTTTCCCCGTGGGTGGTTGGCGGGTGCTCTGGTGTGGTTTGCTCCTTCTTTCTTATCAAACACCTGTCCTGTAACACCTCTAATCTTCGGCACTTATTTCGTGTTGCAATGCAAGTGCCGTAAAACTCTTACTAAGCATGCCTAGCCCGGAGGTGGGAGCCAACAAACTCGCTCGTGGTACAATCTGCCGGCGTTTTCTAAACCTGGACTGAGTCTGTGCAGGGGGAAAGAGGAAGAGAGACAGCAGCGGATGCATTTCCTGTCACTGTCCAGACCTCATGTGGGACTTAGGCAAGGCACAAATTAATTGGGAAGAAATTATAAAAAGTTAAATTAGTCCTCTCCGACATGGAATCTCTTAAATGAGGCCCCCCCCCCCCCACACGTTAGCGTGGGAAAAATTCGCTTTCCGCAATGGCCGCCATGACCTCCCGGTTCACGCTCAGCAGCGCGATCGATAATAGGTCATGCCCATTCATGGAGAGTGACCTATTTAAATTAGGGCTCACACGCTTATGCCTCAACGTACAACATTGAAATTAACAAATAAAAGAGATAAAAGGTTGAAGAAAAGACTGTGAGGAGTACCTAAAAAAAAAAAGATATACTCTTTAAATATAAAGGCTTGAACTTACCTTATTTTTAACTCCTTGTAACTCCGAACACACACAACCGATCCCGAAGTGGAAAACGCCATAATACGCGCCTTTCTTTCCTCTTTAATTTGATAGGCGGAAGTAATCCATAAATTGAAAAGAACACTATAAACGAAACAAAACAAATAGGTACCCCCCTCACGGGGCCCGATTTCTGACACAAAACGCGGCGGCCGCAGGTGAACGAAAATCTCGGGCCGCGCGGGCCGATATCCAAGTGCCTACAAAAGTCAGTGCATCTGGAGATCTAGATCTAGATATATAGCCAAGTTTCATTCTCCAAATACCTGAAAATACTCCCCAGTGGATAAAAATCCCAAGTTTAGCTTCGTCGTACCAATCTGGCAAGGGTCTTGAGTCTAAAGATTCCCATGTAGGAAGATATTTCGCCGAAACAACAGAGGCGAAAAACAATACTGCTTTCAAAACATCCATTTTGTCCGCTTTTGTTAAGTCACATGACCGACAAGTCATGTGACATGGCCAAGTCATATGACTAAGTCATGTGACTTTTTGAGACTTCGTGGTGCATAGGCACTTTACAACCTGTAACTTCTTTTGGTGGTGCATTATCATTTCAAATATAAATCGTTATGATAGGTTACAAATGCATGTTTCTTGGAGGGATCTAATCAGGCGCGGTTCGTCCATAGAGCACGGTCATGCAGTGCCGCCCAAAATGTTTTAATGTTCTATGACGTAAAGCACCCACAATAATAAAAATAAAAGACGCCAGAGGCAAATACTAGTCAAATATTATATATCAAAACAAGGCCCTCGCTGACACCGTAACTGTCATTTCTATTCTATAGCGCCGTAAAACATCTACTATGCCATGTCTAAGTTCATGCGCTGTATCTAAACATTACAGGATAGTCAACAGTGGAAACCTGACCTATAAATCGCTCTTTGGAATAACCCAAGCGATGACGTACGACACTCGTAGAGAGTTTGGCGGTACATTAATATTAATAAGACGGCACATCTCAAATGTGCTCCTGCCGAATAGTGCCGAAACATAGCCCACAGTTGGCAATCTAAAAATAAACGCCATAGACGGTGCACTATTCCATGCCAAAATTATGTGGGCCCCGGAGCAATCCAGCGGAGTGCTCAAGTGAACTGTGATTGGTTCACTGCCTTATCGCTATTTTAAGTGACTCTGTGACCGTGAATCTGAGGGGG